TGATTTGTGGGATTGAAAAAGCAACAAATGCCCTTCTTTTTCCAGAAGTATTGTTAAATACAAGCCTCTGTAACCTCATGTTTGTATTTTTGTTTCATGTGTTTTGATGACAGGTGCTGAGTCATGGGTGGAACTCCTGCCAGTAAACAATGCGGGCTGCATTAAAATACAGTATGTAGGTATTCTTTATTTAGATAAGGTCAGTGGCCCTTTTGCTGAAAACAAGATGAGACAAACCTGTGCCAATGTTTTGAAAAATAACACACTGCTCTGTTAACAGCTGAACACACACACACACACACACACACACACACACACACACACACACAGAGATCCCTATGGAGGCACATTCAGTGAGGGAAACATAGTGTTTTCTATCCTGTGCGTTAAACTGCAATTTTGAAACCAGTAATCCATCCCATAATCTTTCACCAAATCCTGGCCAGGGTTAGAGAGGGCTTCCAAACTCCCCTTTGTATTCCACAGTATTATGCTTTCACAGCTTTAAAGGAGAATCATCATCACTCTTGCTGTCCTCCAATGATAAAGTCTCAGAAGGATGGAGCTTTGGCAGTAAAGACCTGGAAGGAGACATGCAGCTGCCATCCTTGCCTTCACAGGTGACCCTCTGAGCACAACAACATCTGGTTGAATTACTTAACACTGCCACCCAACAGACATGTAATCCGGGATAATGCCCTTTTGCTGAGTGCTCCATTCTGGGTAAATTCATCCCAGAGGAATGAGCTCCAGCAGCAGGGTCTCCGGGAGAGGGAAAGGAGATGAGGGGCTCGGGGTTGATTGGTTGGTTGGTATTAAAGAAAACTGTTGGGGCTGGGAAGAGAGTCTTCTAGATAAATAATGAAGCCCGAGAGTAAACAGCTCGGTTTTGTGGACTGAGTTCCGGTTTTCCAAGAAGACTTCAAACTAATCTTTTATTTTGCCTTCCTGGCTGACCTGAATTCCGACAGGGTCAAACTGAGGCTGTCATCTACTCCGCATTTAGTCCAAAAACTGTCCATTACTCTGGTAAACATTGCAAACACATAATATTATCTGATTTTTACATTTATTCCGAGATAAACATTTTAATTTGAATGTTTTTTCAAATACTGAATCCCGCATATTTTTTCCTGCCACAACGTCAACTAAACAGATATTTCTGTGAATAATTCCCTGGAATGTCCCGTCGTCCCTGACAACCACGGAGACTTGTTAGTTCCAGCTGTCCAACGGCAGCCTCTAAGATTATTTATTCGTATGTTTACTTATTACCACAAATATCCAATGGGGGGGGCTCGGATCAGAAGGATTACAGTGAGCTTAATCTATCGCAGCGCAGAAATGAGCAGGGGTCACGTCGGCTGAGGTGATTTAAGCTGGCTAGCGTTGATGGGACATGCGGCACAAACATGAAAACAAACTGTGATGCTGGGGTCCATCATGAGCTGATGACATCATGAGGAATGCGCCCATGGTCATCATGTATGGCGATGCAAGTGACCAAGAAGGAGATCCTGTGTTTGAAGAAATCTTTATGTTTTGATTTGTTTCCGTTTTCCTGATGAAGTGATGTTTCAGGTATTTATCTCTAGAGTATTAACATGGGTGTCTGAGTAGTGTGGTGCTTTATGCCTTTCTTCTCTTTGGAACGGCAATAATGATTTCTCCATCTGTAAAAACATCCAAACGTGACACGGGAACGACATTTAATAATACTTTACTTGGAAAATATGTATCAAAGCACGCCACGGAAAAGCGGATTTGCAGTTGTCAGACAGCAGTTAATAGACAGCAGTAAATGAAATAAGGGGGGTGGGTGGGGTGGGGGGTAGACATCCTTTTCAGGACTAAGGAACAGCTTAGTTTGGCTGGTTGGCAAAGTCAGGGGTTCTGACAGGAGATGGATGAAGCCGGGGGGAGATAATAAAGGTGATGAAATGGTGAAGGGGGGAGGG